ATAACAGATTCTTAAAAAAAAGTTTATTTGTTATTATTATTAATATTATTATTTTACCCTTATTTTTAATTAGGGTTATTAATAGCTTCAAAACCCTTAAAAATTCCCCAAAATTTGAAAACCCTAAACCTTTAACAAAATTACTTTTCCAGGAAATAACACTGTTATAATCTTAAAGCCCGTTTGTTTAACGCATTTGAACCCATAATTTTGATTTTGTTACAGTACTTTTCTGTCCCAAAAAATTTAAATAAAAAAAGTTATTGTCAATAATTCTCTCACAAAATTTGAATTCAGAATTAAAATGACTGACTTATACGCGTGAACCAAACATATTATTAGTATTTAAGGGGATTTTTCTGAGGTAATTTTGACAAACACCATTTAAAAGTGTATGAGTAGGATTTTTACCATTTATAATTGATTCATAACCTTTTTAGTCAAATAATTATATTAACAAAAAGATATTTATCAAAAATAAATAATAAATGGTAAAAATCCAGACTCATGTACTATTAAAAGTAAATTTTTTTTTTTCTCGTTAGACAAACTCCTACAAATAATGGAACGGCAACTAATCCTTTTGATTTGGAATGAACAAGGAAAATAAAGTATAAGAATATTACTTATTTTAGTCACTTATCCATTTGTTTAAAGGATACTTTAATCGGCTCTCTCTTTCCCTTTTCCCTTTAGTTTGTCTCTAACTTGTTTTCTCATCACCCATTTAGGATACGTTTAGTTTACTGATTTGAGTTTTTAATTTGAATTGAGATGTGATTTTATATGAAAACTTTTTACTGTAATAAAAAAATTAGATGTAACTATTTTTGATAGTTTTTTACTATAACAAAATTCAAATTCTAAATTCGAATCGGTGAAATGAATATGACCTTAATCAAATGCGCTAAAATGCCTTTATGGACAAGTCCACCTTAGAAATAATGGCATTTGACTTTCAAATGAGGGGCGGGCATGCAAACCCTATAAAGCACGTTAATGATATGTTTACTTTTAGAAGAACCGAACGAAAATGAGTACATAATTTTAGTATGCTTTTTTTTTTTTTCTGAGGGAAATTAAAGTTCCTATAGGGCCCCATGTGCGAATATCACGAATTTAATTCCTCATTGATTAAGAGTTGAATTTGGAGGTCATCTACCTCTTGAATTATTATTAATATTCTCATTATATTTTTTTGAAATGCTTGAATTAATTTTAAACTCCTAATTGGGTGGAAACTTTCTGTTTGAGGTCTGCCTAACCAATCACCAACACAACTTTCTTTTCAAAAATGTGATGTAGACACAAATGCATCTCGTAACAAACTTTTGAGTTTTGACTCCCATACTTATATTCTCATTTCATAATAATTCAAGAGGGCTTATTTTATTTAGAAAGAAAGAGAAAAACAGGCTAAGACTTGAGATGAATTAAAATTAATAGGTTAATAGTTTACATAAGTTAATAAATATGCTAAATTACTGTTTTCGTCCATAACTTATCTGGTTATAAACAATAACTTGACAAGTTATTGTTCATAATTGTCCATAACTTGTCTGACTATGAACCATAACTTGACAAGTTTGTTCATAACTTATCTGGTTATAAATCATAACTTGACAAGTTATAACCTATTAATTTCTATAACTAAAAATTGGTCTATATACTTTCTAAACTTATTTTCTATTATTTCCCTTTTATTTATTTATTTTTTTTTTAAAAGGCAAGACATCTTATGACGTTATCATGGTAAAAGCTCTATAAGACATTATCATGTCTCATGAACAGTCGTCTTTATTTTTTTTAATTAATATAAATATACACGGATGCAATATGCAACCTTTCAAATTTAAGTTCTACTTCACTTTTTTTTTTTTTTTTTTTTAACAGTTTGATCTGGTGATCATTAGCTTTTAACATCGTGCTTTTGTGTTCAATTAATGTATATACAAACACACTAATAATGTAAAACAAAGTATTTATAATTGGTCCCCTTTTTAGTTTTTACATTTTTCGAAAAAGAAAAAAGAAAAACGTTTTTAAAACGGCGTTTTAGCATAATAAAGACAAAAAACAGAAAAAAAAAAATAATTTTTTAATTTAGTGTAAAATGAGAGATAAATGAAAAATGACTTGTAGTCATTTTTCATTTGTTGTTTTCGTTTTCTCCTCTCTTGAGCAGAGAAAAAGAGAGATAGATATTAATGAGTTTTTTTATACTGAAAACAATCTCTTGATAAAACTACTAAACGCATTTTCAAAAATAATTTATGTCTAAAATTAAAAACGTTTTTATTTTTATTTTTATAAAAAAAATAAAATCATTTTAAAATGAGTTATAAACGTACCTAAAATTTTTCTTGTCTAAAGACTCGAGAGCAATACATGAGAGTTCAGGAAGTCTCGCAAAAGGATATTATTATATTGAGGCCTCGTTCATTTCAGCGATTCGAGTTTTGTTACAGTAAAAAGCTTTCAGAAATAGTCACATCTAACTTTTTTGTAACAGTAAAAAGTTGGGAGAAAGAGGGAAATAGGCCAATATTTGAGATGAATTAAAATTAATAGGCCAATAGTTTACATAAGTTAATAAATAAGCCAAATTACTGTTTTCGTCCATAACTTGTCTGGTTATAAACCATAACTTGACAAGTTATTCACGGTTTTTGTCCATAACTTGTCTGACTATGAACCATAACTTGACAAGTTTATTCATAATTTATCTGGTTATGAACCATAACTTGACAAGTTATGGCCTATTAATTTCTATAACTAAAAATTGGCCTATATACTTTCTTAAGCTTTTCATATTGGCCTATTTTTTACTACTTCCCTAAAAAGTTCTCACATATAATAACATCTCAATTCAAATTAAAAACTTGAATTAGCGAACTAAACGGGCCCTGAGTCATTAACAAACCCTCCGTTTTTTTAGAACCATACAAACAATGTTTTTGAGATAAATAATCAAACAACAGTATTTTTTAGCGGTGTGAAATCAATAAATGAACTAACTACACTAAGTACGAAAAGTAAACTGAAAACTTTTGCTATTTTCTCTCAATGTGACAACCACATTCACATATGGTACTGACAGTTTTGTTATAGGGGTACACACATTAGAATTAAATAACAACTTAAGGTTATAGTGGCCGAATAGCCTTTTTATACGCTTTTACTCGATAGGTACATACAAATAAATATGGTTTAATTGTTCCTACTTTTATTGATAGGATTCAAACGGTTAAAAATGTATACTATGATATGACGTCCTACAAATAAAAAAAACCTTCATTATTTATTAATTTGCAAACACACTCCTATAATTTTTATCGTTTACTTTTTAAGGTTATTTTATAGTATGATATACTATCGATAATGTATGTTTTTAATCGTTGAATTTCATCAAAATCATATCAAAATACAAAAGCTTTTTTATATAAACACCCCTCAAATTTATGATTTTGGAAAATTGGTCCTCAACTTTAAATCTTAACAATTTACTCTATAAATTTTGAATTTTGTTGCAATATTAGTCAAATAGAAATCATAGTTAAAATTTTTGACCCTTCTTTTACGTGAGTATTTAATGAGGGTAATTCTAATATTCTTGCATCAAATTAGTATCCATATCACATTATAAGCGATTTTTAAAAAAAAAATTAGGGGTAAATTGTTTTGGAGAAAAAATTGAGACTCCCCCAATTCTAAATTTTTTTTCAGTAAGACACCTTATCGTAGAAAGACCCTAATTATTTATCAGGTATGCTTGAGAGAGCTTCTTAAAAGCTGCTTTTAGCTTCACGACTTAAAAGCTACTTTTAGAAGTGTTTAGATGATCTGCCATAAGTGATTTGACATTATAAAATAACTTCCAAACAAATCTATAAAATGAGACTTCTAAAATAAAGCACTTCTGAATAAATATTAAAACTCGTACTATAATTTTATTAAGGCATTATAAACTCAATTTTAACACTTTTTTTTACTTATTAGAAAATTTAAAAATGGTTTTGACCCATTAATTTGCTTTTAAATTTCAAACACTTATGGAAAAAGTCGCAGTTTTTACTTCTCTTATTTTACTGAATAAAAATAAAAAGAAAATTGCTGAAAGCTTGAATTTATTTTTAAAGTGCATGAATTTATATTTTTACTCATTAATCTCGACTAACATGCTTTTTAATCAAATAATTATATTAATTAAAAAGATATTAATAAAAAAATTAAGATTGATATATTCTAAAAGTAAGTTTAATAATTTTTTTAATTATTTTTCTGAAGCCTAATTAATCGTAAAAATCTCCTACTACTTTTCATCGTATTAACTTTACATTAAACGGCATGCAAAACCCATGACACTTCAAACAAAGACCATGCAACTACCCACAAGACAAGACGTTTTTTTTTTCTTTTTTCAACCCCTCAACTACTTCTTCATCATCTTTGTGATGCTCGTAAGGAGAAGGGAATGTCAATTGTCTAAATCAAATGGTATTAAATTTTATATAGAAGTCCGAGAATCTGTCTAAAACGAAAAAGAAAATAAGGGGATATTTATTTTTTATATTTATTTTTAATTTTAAATTATTATTAATGATTTTTTACAGTATTTTTTTTAATAAAAAATATACGTAAAATAAGAATAATTTTAAAATATAATTTTAAATTTATAAACTAAACATTTAAAAAAAAAAAAAAAAAAAGATCTTAACGAGTGGCGTGACTGTCGTCTAAGAATACGACCGCGACTTTAGAAAAATAGAGAAACAACGCCAAAGGTCTCCGTCAGGCCACAGTACTACAACAACTCACACGCCACGACCAAAAAAAAAAAAAACCGCCTCTTTTATTCTCCATTTTAAAATAAATAAATAAATAAATAAAATAGTATTCTTCTATAGTTCTATTCAACCGGTCCAAAGTCTAAAATTCCAAACGCGGCTTACACCATAAATAGAAGAAAACAAAAAGGAAAACAAAACTCAGAATCAAATCTCAAAATCACAAATCACAATTGTTCTTCTTCTTCTTCTTCTTCTTCTCTGCGTCGTTTTCTCGAACACTTTGGAAGATGAAGAGTCGGAGCTCCGGCAGAGTCTCCACGAAATGGATTCCTATTGTTTGCATGTCTTCCTTCTTCCTCGGCGTGCTCATCACAATCAGGTATTTCTCTCTCCAAGATTTTGCAAGATTCATCATTTTCTGAACAAAAAAAATAAAAAATGAGAAATTTGAGCATGGTTGATGAGGCTCTGAGTTCGGATTAGTTGTTCTAGAATGTGGACGCCGCCGGAGTCAAACAGCCAGCTCATCTCGAGTCGCCGCCATGAACAGGAGCTTCAAATCGTGGCCGAGGATTGCGCAACTAAGAAGGTACAAATCTCTGTTCAACTTCAATTTACTGTTTTTTGCGAATTTTTGAATCCGCTTTTAGTTTCATTGGATTTGAAATTCTTTCCTTAATCAGAAGCCCGTACAAGAAAAGGATGTGATGGATGAAATTTACAAGACTCATGAATCAATTCAGTGAGTAGAAATGAATTTTTAGCTATAATTACTTTTGTTTTTTTTTTATCTTTTTTGTCAACACAAAAAAAAAAAATATATTAAACAATTTGGTTGCTTTTGAATGCGGAGCCGTGGCAGATCTCTTGACAAGCAAATGGCAATGATTCAGATGGAATTGGCTGCGTCTCGGAGCTCCCGGGAGTTGGGGTTGTCCGTCGGTTCTTCGGATGCGACATCGGTGTTGCCTCAGGAAGGCTCTCCGAGGAAGAAGGTGTTCATAGTAATTGGAATCAACACAGCTTTCAGCAGTAGGAAGCGGCGGGATTCGGTCAGAGAAACATGGATGCCTCAAGGTATATTTATATTATAGTTCTTGGCACACTTCTTCTTCTTGTTTTGTTTTGTTTTTTTTGTTTTTGTTTTGTTTTGTTTTGTTTTTTTTGCATCTGCTTGTGCTTGATCTGTTGTATTCTAAGACTGTATTAGCTGAAATATTTCTTGCTTTCTTTGTTCAGGTGAGAAACTTCTGCAATTGGAGCGCGAGAAGGGGATTATCATTCGCTTCATGATTGGCCATAGGTAATTTTTATTTTTCTGATCCTTTTTGTTTTAGATCAGGTGGAACAAGATTTTCATATTATTATAGGCTTGAACCAGAATTGGCGTTGTACGTAATTATCTTAATCAGGCATGTAGGGACAAATTTCAGGTCACGATAGAGTTGTTTTCATAGACCTTTTTTTTGTGAGCGCTTATCCATTTCTATTATTGTGAAAACTTTCTTCCTTTTTGTGTTGATGCTTGATAGAATGCCTTTGGACAAGTCCGCCTTTATAATTCTTTTACAAAGATCAACATGAGACAATCCTAGAATTGATGTGACACAACATGAGACAATATTCATATCGAAGATACCATATTACATTTCCTTTTCATGCCTTTGGGACATAGATGTACCTGTCATTGAAATATTACTGAATACCGCTTCTTACAATGTTACCGTGCTTTCTTCTGAAAACTGACTACTATTTGGTGATTCATTCAGTGCAACATCCAATAGCATTTTAGATAGAGCCATTGATTCAGAAGATGCTCAACATAAAGATTTCCTTAGACTGGTAAGAAAGCATGCTACGTTTTACGCATGAAAATCAAAACAGCTATGACAGGAATGTGGCCTTAATCTTGCATTGTGGCAGGAACATGTTGAAGGATATCATGAATTGTCTGCAAAAACAAAAACTTTCTTTTCTACTGCAGTTGCAAAATGGGATGCGGACTTCTATGTCAAAGTTGATGATGATGTTCACGTCAATTTAGGTACGCCCTGCTGCATGCACAGTAGTTGTTTTTTTGTGGAACAATGTCAATAGAATACTGAATCCGAGTCTTTTACATGTCTTGTTTGGGAAGGTATGTTAGCTACAACTCTTGCCCATCACCGTTCAAAGCCCAGAGTCTACATTGGTTGTATGAAGTCTGGACCTGTTCTTTCTCAAAAGTAATTCTCTTGGAGCTTTTACTTGAGTTTTTTAGGCTGTCTCTCATGCATTCACTTGTAAATAATTTTTGAAATTTTTGTGTTTTTAGGAATGTCAAGTACCACGAACCAGAATACTGGAAATTTGGAGAGGATGGGAACAAATATTTTCGACATGCAACTGGGCAGATTTATGCAATCTCAAAGGATCTAGCTACATATATTTCCATCAACCAGTAAGACATGTGGATATATTAATCTTATATGGAATTTGCTGACTTGTTTCTTTAGAATTAGGAGTTGTCATACTTAGAAGATTCTGGGTTTAGAACATCTCTTTTGAGATAGAAGTATTGATTGAAATGATATTCTGGAAATTCTGATCAAAGTTTTAAAACTAGCAGAAGTAATATTTGTTCTCACCTTTTTCCAAAACTTTTAAGGACGAGAAATTTTGAAATAATTCCATACTGAAATCAAATGCTTGCAAATATTGGAATACCCATATTTAAATACTAAGTTCTGAGTCCACGTCGTAGTCTTGACATTTTTGGATAATGTATTCCTATAATACGTGGTAAAAGTTGAGAGATGCTGTTTATGACCGCAGGCCCATATTGCACAAGTATGCTAATGAGGATGTGTCGCTTGGTTCGTGGTTCATTGGCCTCGAAGTTGAACACATTGATGACCGCAATATGTGCTGTGGAACTCCACCAGGTACTGTGATTGGAACTGATCTTATGATAAGGCTGTCTAGTAGCCATACCCAACAAAAAGTTTCTACTCTTTAAAGCCCAAAAATTATCTATGTTGTGTGTGTTTAGTGCTATTAGATGATACAGTTAGGGACCCTCGCATGCTTTTGCAGAAAATTACAGCCTCTTTAGTCTTATTCTATCATTTTAAGTTTTTAGCACTTTAATTTTACTCTTTTTTATAAACATAACACAAAAAGCTCATAGATCTATAAATTTTTTGTGCAAGCATATTGTTCAATGGTATCGAGTTCTTTCTCCCCGTACTTTGTACTGCCCATGCCAGTGATAAGAGTGTTAAACCCTGATCTATACCTGGAAAGTAAAAATTAAAAAATGGCAGTTGAATGCATACTTTCTGAATTTAAACTGTTTATGGCTGGAGCTCTCGTTTACTTGAATGTACTGCTGCAGATTGCGAGTGGAAGGCACAGGCTGGTAACGTCTGTGTTGCATCGTTTGACTGGAGCTGCAGCGGAATCTGCAAATCGGTGGAGAAAATCAAATTTGTTCATGAAAAGTGCGGTGAAGGAGATGGAACTGTCTGGAGTTCATTATTTTAAATCCGTTCATCTTGAAAATTCTTTCTTGGCCAAACAAGCACGCTGAAAATACACTGCAGACATAAAGAGTTGGGAGGCGGTTTCGAGAATTCAAACACACAAAGCATTACATGTAGATGTGATACACATGTCCAATACATTTCTTCAAACTTATGGTGAAAGACTTGCAGGAGCTGGTGACAAAGATGTGGTGCAAGCTATACGGGAAGTGTTTTCAAATTTCAATTGCTGAAATGTGAATTTAAGAAAGGTTATGAATTCCACTTGTAATTTAGGGCGTGGGAGGAAATGGGGGTATTTATTTCAATGTTGTTTATTCAGTTTGTTTTTTGTTGTAGTATTTTATTTTATTTTTTTAAAGGAATTTTGAATGTAATTTTATAAAAGGTGGGGTGTCATACACGCTAGGCTCCATGTGTAAACCCCATTACAAGAGTCGGATTTTCCAGTTAAATGTTGTATTTTTATACCAGACAAATTTTGTAAAATGAAAAACCAAAAAAAAAAAAACCTGATAAATGTTCCTACGCGGTTCTCTTCTTCTTTTTTTTTTTTTTTTTTTTTTTTTTCTGGGGGGGGTTATTAATGATATAGTGTATGTTTGGTATATAGGTTTTGCTATAGTGTAAATCTATAATTTTAGTTATCCTATAATGTTTTTCTTTTATAAAAAGTTTGAATTTCAAAAGTCAATAATGCCTAAAATCATATGTATAGTGTCACTACTCCCGTTAGTTTCAGTATGTTAAAGAGCATATTCAATATTGATGTGGTAATTCTAAATTTAACATTTAAATGCACTAGTCATGTGATAAACACGTGATTTTAAACAGTTAAAACATTTTTCTTTATGAAGAAGCTTTTCAATAAAAAGGGCAGACCAACATGAAAAGTCCAACAAATAAACAACACAGAAAAACAAAACAGAAGAAAAAAGAAACACAGCCCCACAGATGCACACCCAATTTCTACAATCTACCATATATTAAAATAGTAGAAAATGTACTTTTGGTAGTCCAAAACTACCAAATTTTTTTTTTTTTTTACTTTCTTTCTTTTTCTCTTTTACTAATTTTTTAATCTTTTTTTTTCTTTCTCTCTCTTTTCTCTTGCATTACCTTTTTTCCTTTTTCTTTTTGCTCCACTCGTTTACTATAATTTATTACTCTAACCGCTTAAATCTTTATTTCTTTTTCTAATTCATTTTTTAACGTTATTGTCTACCATTGTATTTCATAGATGATTTTCTACTTTTTTTATTCTTTTTCAGTGCTTTATTTTTTTTTATTTCTTTTTGGCTTCATTATTTATTTTATTGTAGTCTCTTATCTCCGATGCTCTTCTGTTGTTTTTGTTCTTCTTTTATTTCTCTACATTTGAACTTTATCGTTCTTTCATAGATTTCTGAAACCTCCAATCTCAACAATCCTCACCGGTATAATCTTTTTAATTATTAATCAAATATGACTTCAATTACATTTAGTTGTGTATCAAGTTATTTTGTCGTGCCACTGTATATTACTTCCATAGATATTCAGGCCCGTTCACTTCACTAACTCCAATTTTATGATTTGAGTACGAAAAGTGAACTTGAGTTATTTTTAATTAGAGTTGTAATGTGAATTTTGAGTTAAGTGTTTAGTAAGAGATTGATGTGACATTTAAAACTTGAGTTATGTGTTCACTTGCACACAACTAAACTCACCACTTACACAAGATATTGCATTGGATTTATCTTCATTTTCTGGACCTACATAAGCCAATGTTAAATACTCTTGCAAACATTTGACGTGAGGCAGCTTAAACAACTACACAACATTATGCAGAGGCATTACACAACTTCATTTCAAGAATTTAAAATGAACATGCTGTACACTTTAGTGTAAACGACATCCAAGTAAGGGAGACACAATGAAAACGACGAATGGGTGGAGTTGTCAGTGTAATCATCCACCGGGTTTAGGCAGAGGCACAAAACAATGCAACAAACTTAGCTTATGACAGTAAAGGACATCAAACAATGCCTAATGCCGTTCCCCATGGGCACCAAATCAGAAGACAACACTTGTTCCATGTAATTCTTACAATCTGCATATTCAACAAATAATAGTGATAAGATAACTCCAGTACGACAACAGGGTAGGTAATAAGCTTAGGTATAAACGGCAACAGGAGAGACAATACAACAACAAGGGAGGCAATAAGCTAAACACGGCCACAGGACAGCCAATACGACAACAAGGTAGGCAAACGAGTTATATAAAATTAACTAATTATTGTATTATTATATATAAATAAAATGGACAAACATTTGAAAGTGAAACAATAAGCACTGCACGTGATCTAATAGCCAACAATCTTATTGCCCGCTGCAAGATTTCTGAGAATTGAAGAATGAAAGAAAATGTATTATTAGCATATGTTAAAGGTTTTCAAATTAAAAATAACGACAATCACCCAATTGGTGGGGACTTAATGAGCCTAGAGTGGGAAAAGGTGGAGAAATTAGTCACATTGGATCTCTCCAGCACAGGCCGTATAGGAGAGATTCCAGAGTCCATATCAGAATCAAAGAGGCTGAGGTTTCTGGGTCTTAGTGATAACAATCTCTCAGGAAATCTCTCACCAAAGCTTGTCACATCAGGAGTAAACACATTTCTTTATCAATGTATCACAAAATAACACATTGCTGGGCCTTTAATAACACATTTCATTCTAGTTTTCATCCATCAAAGTTCTGTTTCTGTGTAAGTTGTTGGTAAACATATGTCTTATAGCAAGTAACTACTGTATGTCGGGAAGGAAATTTGCATCTCAGATTTGCCTAAGTATTCAAACAACAAAACATGCTTCATACCATTGTATTTAGTGAAATTATCAAAACTAGCGTATGAAGAGCTTCTAATAACTCAAACAACTATAGAAAAGTATGCAACGGCAATCATACAACTTCATGAAATGAATTTAAAATGAACATGCTAAACTTCAGTGTAAACGACATCCAAATAAAAGAAATCCAATAAAAACGACAATGTTCAGATTTAGCAGTGTAATCATCCACTGGCATATGCAGAGGTAATGGAAGTGTAAATCAGTCAAAGAAAAGATCTTACCGTGTTTGATCCGAAAGAGGACAATGGTTGATCTGCTTCGACAACCCCCAAACGCGACTGTGATGGACGTCAGTGAAGAGATGGATACCGGCACCGACAACAGAAAGCTCTATTTCTAGGAGCACGCTTCGGAGGTCGGAGACGGCGTTTGGCGCTACATCGACGCAGGAGCACGGCCAACAGAGGAAGCCGGCTCACTCGCGTGGGATCAATTTCTCCCGTGTTGAATCACTGAAGGAGAAGGCAACAAAGGAATATAGGGATCGGGATTCACCAATATTGCCGATTTGGGCTGGGTTTATATGGGATGTACCTGCGAGCAACTTCACCGTGGGTGAGTTTGGTGGATGAAGCGATTTCACAGCGGTCCAAGAAGAACACGCTTGTGGGAATGGTGTGCAGCGGTCCAAGCGATTTCATAGTGGATTAATCGTTGGTCTCATTGAGGGGAATCTGCAAGCTTTTTGCAGAGCAGGCGGAGCTTTCTCGTGAGGCAGCAGGGATCGAGAAATGTCAGAAGAGCACTGTAGAAAATAACTCGAGTAATGGGAGTTTTAGGGGACGGTGAAGTTTACCTACTCGAGTTATTACTCGAATTTTAAATTCAAGTTTGGGTAAGCGAACGCTTATTTCAGCCCAAAAACAAACTCGAGTTCACTTTATTTGAGTGTAATGCACGAAGTGAACGGGCCCTCAGTTATTTGTGTTTGTGGGCATGTGTATTTATGTTATTGGGTTTCTTTGAACTGAAAAACTAAAGAGACGTTTGGTTCATGGATTAAAATAATGTGATTAAAATCATTTTTTATTTACGTGTATTTTTTGTGAGAAAAAATACTGTAGCGAACCATGAACCATGATTCAAATCATGGTTTGAATCCTCCAACCAAACATCCCCTAAATCAAAATATTACTTGGTTAATGAAATATACAGTTTTGACTCCTCAATTAATAAATTGTCTATTTTCAGAATGAATCTAACACAATAATAGTATGTACGAGTTTTAAAATGATCAAGTAATAGAAAAACAAGTTTTGAAAAAAAAAATATATGAAACAAAAAGTCAAAATGTGTAACTAGTATGAATATATATATATATATATATATATATTTTCATTTTTATGGATCTATTTGTTTTTTTTCTGTTAAATCCCTCATAAACCGACACGGTTATACTTTATTCGTGCTACATTTAGTTTATTATCAAAGACTGTAAATAACTATTTTTCTTGTTAAATTTTTAAGTAAAATTTTTCTTATATTCATTATCTATGTTATCAAAACATCAATTACAATTTAATATGTGCAAATAACTCTTATAGCATACTATTCACCTTTTGTTTGGTACTTTACCCCTCATTTTTTTCTTACTTTCATTTTGCCCCTCTTATTTTCTTTAATCTTTTTCATATCTTTCTAATTCCATTCTCTAACTTTTATTTCTAACTATTTTAACTTTCTTCTTTCATTCTTTTTTAACTCCATTTATCTACGAGTATCTCTTACAAACGGAGTTTTACTTTTTTTCTTTCTGTTTTTTTAGCACCACTTGTCTACCGGATCACTTACACTAATATTAATTTTTCTTTTTTTATTCCTCTTTTACTCTCATTCTCTATCTTAAAGTTCTTACAAGGATCTAAACCAGGGTGATTCTAATCATGATTTTGGAATCAAAACCATGATTTATGAGTTTGGATTCAAATCATGATTCTGAAACCATGATTCAGAATCAGAGGTTTGATTCACCTTGAATCAAGATGATAAGTGGTTTTAGAATCATGAGTGATTCTGATTTAAAACATCACATCAGATTCTGAATCACGATTCAGAATCATCCAAACCAAACATTGATTCTAAATCATAATTATGAATCATGATTCAAAATCACTGTAAACAAACACTGAACCAAGATTCATAATATTTCATCACAACATAGACTAGATTGCTCGTGTGTTTTTATTTTGTTATCTTATAATTTAGACCATTTCATCAATTTGTTAATCATATAAGCATTTCATTTAAACTATTATTTATATACTCCACGTTATTAAATTTTTAATTACAACTCAATACGTGCGCATCGCATGTAAGCTACACTAGTTTTTGATACAAGTACCAAAACTACAACCTATAATTATAATAAACTTGGGGGCAGTTATGTGACATTTTAAATATAAAGCCTAAAAATGACACAATCCTTATTCCTCAGGGGTCAAATTCAAAATTAACAAACTAAAAATTACCTTCCTAATAATTAGGGTTGTACATAAACCCTAACAACTCACAAATCCAACATACTCTACCCCAATTCAACCCGAAAAAGGCAATTTATAGCATTATTTATTTTTTTCAGCCCACTAAATGTCTGGCCTGAGGTATTTGAGGCTGTTTGTTAGTTGGGTCTATAATAACCTGTATATCCCAACCCAACCTGCACAAACATGCCTGATAAGAAGCCTATGAGTGTAGACTAATAAGGATGGTTGCAGTTGCGGTGCTTGTTTTGGATGGATTTGAATTAAGCCTTTAATTTATGTTTGTTTTATGTTTGATGTTAAAATGACTACTTTGTTTCATATTTAATGTTAGATTGTACTTTGAATTGCTATCCATTTAATGATGGACTAATTAATATTATTTTTATTTAATGATGTACTTTAAATGTTAGAATTATGTTTGATTGTCGTTATTATTTATATTTGATGATTAATATTATTTAATAATAATCTTTGAATGTTGAAATTATTATTTATATTTAATAATTAACTTTAAATGTTAAACTTTAATTCTTTAAATAATACCCAAACATCATTATAATTTTTCTAATACCCACACCAACGTACAGTCCTACTAATAATCTCAACGTTAATAAACCCCAAAAATAATTAAAGTTGTTGATCTGATTGGTGTTGTTCGAGCTTCTACTCATTCTTAATCATTGAACTGTTACTCACCCAGCAATCAGTTCTTCCGCATTCTGTAGCTCCAATATCCCTCGGAAGAATCGAGAATCTTCTCTCTCTCTCTCATCGGACGGCGGCGGAGAAAATGGAGAACACCGACGTGTTCTTGGGGCTCCACGATTTCCTGGAGCGCATGCGTCAACCCTCCGCCGCCGATTTCGTCAAGTCCATCAAGAGGTCAATTTCCGATTTCAATTCCCGATTGCTTCGATTCTTTGCTGTTGAAACTAGAAAAAAGCAAAGTTATTGTTTGATTTGATTGATTCTGATATTTGGTTGGATGGATAATCTGCAGTTTTATAGTGTCGTTTTCGAACAATGCACCTGATCCGGAAAGGGACAGCAATGCCGTACAGGAGTTCCTGGCGAAGATGGAAGCCGATTTTAGGGCTCACCCGCTCTGGGCTGGTTGCTCCGAGGAGGAGCTTGACAGTGCTGGTGAAGTGAGTTTCTATATCTTTTCATTGATTTAAATTAAAAGTTTGCACTTTTTTTTTTTTTTTGCGATCATTTTTGTCATTATAGTTTTATGATCCGAGGCTTATTTCTGTTCTATATGCAACTTATATATAGGATGTACAGTATTGCTTACAAGTTGGGTATGGATAGACTATATATATAGGTCTAAAGATGATAACAATGAATTTGAAGGTGTTTTTTTTTTTTTTTTTAACCCAGCAAAAAAAAGAGATCATTTTTTTAAGAAAGAAAGAGGAAAATTAAGAACTTTTGTCTGGGGAGTTTTGAGAAAGATAAGGGGGTGTTGTTAAAAAAGGGAATTAGTTAATTACAAAATGATTAAGAAAAAGAAATATCTAGACTGAAGAATAGGAAAGTACAGAAGGTGAAATTTGGCTGCATAACATAAATTAGCTAGAAAGAGGACTGACTCTCGTTCCCAATATCTCTTGATTATGATTGACCTCCAACTGCTTTGTGGGATAAAAAATGGAGTTTCGCTTTAGAAATGAATGGAAAGCCAAAACAAAATATCACGCTATAATGGTTGGAGATTCATGAAAATAATCAAATATGAACATCTTATAGATGGAGACAAAACAACTTGATATTATGATATGCTTATTACCTTGCATCATCTAGTTTATAGGTACTTTATTGCTCTTCCTTTCAATTGGTAATTTCTTCGGGATCCATTTTGTATTCTGGTTTTTTACGTACTTTTAGCTCAATAATAGTTGCTATTGATGAAATGTATCCCTTGCTCTGTTGATTTTTCTCTTTCTTTCAATTACAGGGACTGGAGAAGTATGTTATGACAAAGTTATTTACTCGTGTATTTGCTTCACTTCCAGATGATGTAAAGCATGATGAAGAGTTATCTGAGAAGATGGCTTTGATTCAACAATTCATTCGACCAGAAAATTTGGATATCAAGCCAAATTTTCAAAATGAGACGTCGTGGCTGGTGAGAAAAGTGCATTTCAAGTTATTTTTCTTTGATGTTTCTTTAATATATATCAACAAAAACATAATTGTGGGACAAAACTGAAAAGAAAGAAATGGATGTGCTTCTGAAGATCAACAAAAGGTGTAAGCCTCTGCATCTGACACCTTTCAAGAGACCCAGATGTACTTCTGAAGTCCTCCGAGATTGTAAAAGTTTTTGTTTTTCGATCTTCTTTTCTTGCCTTCTTCTTACCCTTTGTTTTGTGTTTTATGTGAGTAAAAACTAAATCAAATTACATGAAAGCATAACAAGCCATTTTCTGCTGTTTGAACCTAATATAACAACGCACTTAGGAGGTAGACTTTTCTTTCATGTGTATGTATGCACAAGTAGATCAAAGAAAATTTGTTGATCAAATGATGGGATATTTTATGGTGATTGCAATTTTTAAAGCAAAAAAGGAGTTAATATGTTTCTAGTTCTTGGAAATAAATAATGCCCCTTTACCAGAAGAAAAGAAGATCAGAAACGTGAGAAAAAATATTCAAGACTCATGAATAGTCTTTTAGTGCCGCATGAATAGAATCTGCCTTTATGCACGAAAAGAAAAGAAAAGTAAAAGAAGGTGAAAGTTAGTTACTTCTTAAAACTCCTAAGTTGAGATAACTTTATGATCCAAAGTGCCTTTGTTTTCGTATATATGTATTTATTTATTTATTTTACTCATGCTTGAGGATGCACAAAGGAGGAATAAATCCTTTAGCTTGTTTATCGCTTTTGTCAACTTGGTTTATTCTTAGACATCCCTTTTGAAGTCTTACGCTTTCTCTTTACTCTAATTTATGCAGCTCGCACAGAAAGAGCTGCAGAAGATCAATATGTACAAGGCACCGAGAGATAAGCTTGTGTGTATCCTTAATTGCTGCAAGGTTATTAGTAACTTGCTGCTTAATGCTTCTATTGCTTCAAACGAGAATCCCCCTGGAGCTGACGAATTTCTTCCTGTCCTAATTTATGTCACTATAAAGGTAACGTTAAAATATATAAGGACTCTAGTCTATTTGATAAAAAATGTACTTTGTCTTCTGTTTTGGTCTTTTGTTTGCATCAAACTATTGTAATTTTTCCTTGTTCATGTTCTTATGTTGCGTTGTTGCTTAATCAGTTTTAGATGGCAGTATGATAATCTTGCATATAATGGGACCAACTGTCAATATTCATTATGCTAAATTGCTTTTTATCATCGATATGCAGGCAAATCCTCCGCAGCTGCACTCAAATTTGTTGTATATAGAGAGGTATAGACGGCAGTCCCGATTAGTTTCAGAAGCAGCCTACTTTTTCACCAACATGCAGTCAGTCGAATCCTTTATCTCAAACATCGATGCAAAAGCCCTTTCAGTGGATGAAGCAGAGTTTGAAAGGAACATGGAAACCGCTCGAACGCTGCTCTCTGGGCTTTCAGATTATTCAAATAGTCAGTCTAATCAAACAGATCAACGCATACCCAGATCAGAGTTTAAGGAACCCAAACAGCAAGCTTCGAATGTTGGCAAAGATTCTGCATTGCGTCCGAAATCAAGAGTGGAGACACCTTATGCAAAGGATCAGTCGTCGTTTTCAAAAATACCATCCCTCTCAGATTTGGAGAATAAGGGAGCAGGGCTGCTTTTAAAGGAGGACCAGGTAAGCAAAGCATTTCAGGAGTATCCGTACTTATTTGCCAATGTTGGTGACCTGACCATCAATGACGTCGAAGATCTGCTTAATAACTACAAACAGCTCGTTTTCAAATACGTTAGTCTTTCAAAAGGGTTGGGCTGCGCTTCTCCAGCTCTTCCTTTATTAAGTTCGCAAACTCTAGTCCATCAGCAGACTGAAACCATTAGCAAACAGGAAGAGAGAAAAGCAATAGATCCTACTAACGAGTCAATGATAGATGCTGATGGTGTAGATGTTAGCTCATATTCACTTTTCGAGGTGGAAAGTTTAGAATCCAAATTGTCACAAGACGAGGCAGTAGCAGCACAGGGTGGTAAATTTGAGGAAACTACGCAATCATAGGCTCCTTCAAACTCATACTGCCATTTCTCTAAGGAAATGGATCCTGCCGGAGCTGTTTCTTCCCCCGTCCATCGAGGTTTTGGATCAATGCGAGCAAAATTTCAGCTGTTTGATCTCCATATCACACTAGTACACTGAAAACTTTTGATAGAAATGAGAAACAAAGAACTGGCTGGCTAGGTAATACCTCGAATAGTATCTCTCTCAGCAAAACCGGCATTCGAGGGTTGGAACGTGTGTTCTTTAGAAATTTTCCCCAGCTACACGTATCTTTTCTTCATCAAGTGATGGAAAGTGTGTTCTTTAGAAATTTTCTTCCTCGTTTTACTGTCATTTTGAGAAACTAAAATCTTGTACCTTTTTATTGTAGCAATAATCATAATAGATTTTATCTGCCAGAAAATCGGACGGCCAAAGTAATTTGTACTTTTTATGATTAAGATTTAGTCTAATGGGTTTTGACAATGAATTGGTGTAAACTTCAAAGATGTATGCGCGTTGGATTTGCTTTCCCTTGAAAGGGTTTCATTGAACAGTGTTATATTGTTATATAAAGTTGTGAGTTTTATGATTTCTTTTGAATAGCATATGAAATTATCCAAGCTCATTTTCACTAACCTCAAGTTACTATGTACACACACATATATCTAATATGTAAACGTATAATATATATATATATATATATATGTACATCTGGAAGAAAAAACTAGTTGAACTAACTACAGCCTTTTCGAGTACCTTCAAACTTGGGATGAATTGTGTCCATTGAATATTTTCGAAAAATTTGTGGAATTGTATGATGAACTCGTCAAATTATAAGCATTATTGGTGCAGCATCCGTGGCCTTATTATCACTATCTTATTGTATCTTGTACGATTTTGCCTTTCAACCCTTTCAATAATGATGCCGGAAAACCATACGTACAGATAATGCCACTTCGTCATGACTTCTCAAAATCAACCAAAGAAAAGTTCAACTTTTGATATAGGACAAAGTGCATGCGGCTGCAAGACGAAAGCTTTTTTAATTCTGCATTGTCTCATGCGTGAGTTTCAAGAATTAAGATCTCGTTCATCTTATAATTTCTTATGTGAATTGTGCTAATATCATAGCGCGATTAGATCACATTATAACCATTCATTATTTCACTACGAGTCTAAATTTTAATACAGTCAAAACCGTCATGTTTTGCTTGTAAAACCATTTTAACGTCGATTTATCTTGCCTCTCTCTAGTTAGGCGGACCACCCTTTAGCCATGGCCCTTTTTCCGTACAACTCATCGTGTCTAATCACGACTCAGATTTGTTTTAAACTAGAAGAACGGAACATTCAAAATGGTTTAAAATCACATCCACAAATTCTCTCTCTATGTCTCGTGCTCTACAATCCACTATGGGTTGGTACACATAACACAGACAACAAGTATTAGGGTATGTTTGTTAGGAGGGAATGAGTAAGGGAGGGAGAGAGATAGAGGGTGAAGAGGTCTTTGTAAAAATAATTTAATACAAAAATTTTATTAGTAAAATAATTTTTTAAAAATTTTTATTTATAAAATGACAACAGAAAGACCGTAATAAAAAATGTAAAAGGTCACTTTGTTGGATTATCATTTTAGCAAATTTTTCGAGGGTGAATTCCTTGATTATAAGAAGGAGAAGAGGAGGGAGAGACTCTCCCTCTAAGCCTAAAATTTTAGATCCTTCCATTAATGGGATGATCTTTATCCGACTAATCCACTTAAATTTAAATAAAAAATACTTTTCTACCCTTCAAGATAAATTATTAAAAAATAATAAAATAGACAATATAATAATTAAATAAATAATTATCATTAATCATTTTAATTCTCTCTATCCAGCCAAATAATATGAAGATAGTATTTGGTATGCGGGAATCAATAATAATCATATTACTGAGAAAGTGATAGTAGGTTATATGATTATGAAGAAACCTACGTTTTCATATTTGGTTACGTATAACAATTTTTTTTTTTTAATTTTTCAAAAATATAATTTTATTGTGTTTGGTAGTGCATAATAATGTAATATTATTTTCTACAAAATCAATAGTTTTTAGTATTTTAAATTAAATAAATCTTATTAGATTGGATAATTATTTAGGATAGAGCTTTTGTTTTTCCGTGTGCTTGTAATTTTGGCTTGCTATTGTCTTCCTCGATCAGGAACGACACCATTTTGACGCTTCCAATCTCAATAGTGCACGAGATCTAGGCGGGTAGGGCGGACACTAGCTAGGGGCTTCACAGATGGGCGGCGACTGGCGGCCGAGTACGCGGGGGACTTCGCGGATCGTGGCTGGACGGGTTTGTTCGCACGGCGTCATGGGTGGGACAGCGATGATGGTGGAGGTGGGGGCTTTCAGGAGAGGGAAGGCTACGACGAAGGGTCTGCGGCGGCGGTGGTGGGAGACGGCATGTCTGATGGGCGTTGATGGGGTTGCGATGGTTGAGTAATCGTGGGAAGTGGAGGGTTGTGTAGTGTCTATTGGTTTTTTTTTTTAAATTAATTTCCTATAGTACTCAAATTCTTATGAAAGTAAGGTTTTTTTCATATGATTCAAATTTTTAATTTTAATTTTATTATAGTTAAAAATTTTTGTAAAAAATTACATATAATTTTTTTTTATTATTGTAAAAAATTTTAACATAAAATCATATTTTAACTCAAATTAAAAATTTAAATCTGTAAATTAAATGAGACTTAAATAACATTAGGTGTTATTCACGTTATCCTAAAATATAGGGTAGATTTATTTTTTTTAGGAATGTGAAAATCACAATTTTTATACTAAATATAAGGGCTTGTTTAGTTCGCTGATTCGAGTTTTTAATTTGAGCTGAGATGTGACTTTATGTGAGAACTTTTTACTGTAACAAAACTCAAATTTTAAACTCGAATCAGCAAAATAAACGGGACCTAAGAATAATGAGAAGATTCTCATACTCATTTTAAGATTATCTCATACCAAATAAACTCTTTTACAAAATTATTATAGTTCTCTCTATTTTTCACTCTTTATTTTTTTAACTTTCTTCATCATTCCAACCAAATCGAGCAAACAAACTTTCAATTATTTCAACGCCTCTAAAAAATTACTATAATCCTCTTTATTCTTCACACTCTTTATTTTTCTAACTCTCTTCGTCGTTCCAACCAAACCGAACAAACAAACTCTCAATTATTTCTTAACTTTTTAGTATGTCCTTTTGGAGAAAGGTCAAAGATTTATTATATAATAAAGCTCATTTTAAGTATGAGGACTAAAGGGCACAGGCGCACAGCTCAGAGGTAGTCAGAGAGAAAAATAGGATATTGCTCTCCGTGTGCTGGGGAGAATCTCAGATCAGATGATGACAGAAGTGTCTATAATAGTCCATAGGATAGGAGATGCTTGGGCATTGTATTTGGTCTCTAACTTTCCTATTTGTTGGGTCCTATATAACATTTTCCGAGAAAACAAATAAAGCACTAAGGGTATTTTTTTTTTTTTGCATTTTTAAGTTAGGGTTATTTGAGTGATAATTTTGAGTCGAGTTTGAGTTGTAACTTGAGTTTGTGTTTGGATGTGCACATTTGAGTTATGATTTAAATTGAGAATTTATTTGAATTTGTGTTTAGGTGGGTCAAAGCTTAAATTTGTATTTAAATAGTATTTTAATAAAAACTCAATGGTGATGATAAATTTTAATAGGATATATGGGTGTGGTTTTATTCATCTTTTCGTTGTGAATGCATAGGAAAAAAATCATCTCAATCAGAATTAAAACGAAAAAGTTGTGACATTTTTAAGAATAGAAAAAATATTGTTCATTAACTTGAGTTCGAGTTTATGAACTTTAGTTAAAGGGGAAACTTGAACTTAAGTTTAATCCTAAACTCGAGTTCAAACTCAAATTTTACAAAAGAGCGTGAACTTAAATAAAATTGTAAATTGAGTTTAAACTTTTTTTGAGTTTCGTTGTAAAAGAACAACCCCTTTTAAATTTCTCTGGTTTGGTATTTTTTGTTTTTAATTTTTCAAAATGTTGAGCAATCATTTTGATGTTCTATTGTGGTTAGTCAAGATCATTAAGGTTTAAGTATCACGCATGACTTTTTAAGAAAGAGACATGACACCAATCGATCTGATTGTGAATTTTGTGTGTTCTGTTTTAGTGTGTTTTATTCAAAAAAAAAAAAAAAAAAATCTCAAAACCATTATAGATTGTATCTTTTTTCTTTTTACTTTACGAATTTAACATCTTGCGCTTGTAGCCTTGTACCCACTTAAATTTGAGTAAAAAAAATCCATAAACTCTAGCATTTCTCTTCGCCAATGACAAGTTTTAAACTAAAAGTTGGTAAAAAGTCTACTAAGGTGGATTTTCATAATGAAATATGCTAATTTATTAGCTAATAATTATATATATATATATATATTTTTTTTTTAACTTGAGGAGAGGTTTTGAACTACTTATCTTGTCATGAAATCAAGTGTGAAATTACCTTTATATTATATCTGCAACAAAAAGGAGCCTTATTAACTCTTCTCCAAAGCTTTCTTTCTTTTTTACGGATATCTGGTTATTGGCATACGAAGGAACAATACTTTTGGAATTATGTTATTATCTTAATTAGTTAGAAATTGCAAATGCGTAACGCAATCTAATTTCTCCACCAAAACTGCCATGATTAAAAATTTTCAAGATGATTAAACAACTGACAAGTAACCACTTAGCATAGGAAACGAGCTCTTAATTATTTGCATGATTAAAGAGCCATTAGGACAATAATAATTCCAATTGCACTTTCACCTAAACATCACTGCTAAAAAAAAAAAAAAAAAAATCCACATCATGTCAAGAAATATGTTGCAAAAGTTTCTACAAATATCGATCACCCAAACAAAAGTTTCTATGAAACCAAACCAAAAGAAAAGAAAAATTTACTGATTAGTGCAACTAATTATTAAACAAGTATAATAATTATCTCACTGCTGCTAGTCTTAAGTACTTGCGTGCTTGGAGCTTTGTGAGTAACAACTTCAAAAATATTATGGAATAATTACATAAAAATTACCATTTTTAATCTCTCTATTTAAGAAATGCCTTCAATTTAACAATATTATCAATTTGTCCATTTTAAGATAGTCATAATAAAACGTAACGGCCACGCACCTAATTTTAAGAAATGTTCATTACGGGTCATTTTATGGAATTGGTGCGCAAATATTACAATTTGTGGAGATTTTTTTGTGTGACCCCAGTATAATGGTTATATGTGTAATTAACTCTAAAAATCATGTCGTTTCACTTTCACTCATGGTTAAGGGGCCACAGGCAAAAGTATTGCACAATTTACGGAGTCATGCTTTTCTAGATTGTTGTTTTCCTTTCTGTAACTAATGGCCCTACTCCAAACACATTAATGTCGTATTAGGCAAAACCAAAAGGGACTTGTGTTGGGATGGATTATTTATGAACCTTTTTTTTTTTTTTTTTTTTTTCTTGGTTTAAATGTAGTATTTTTAATAT